GGGTCTTATAAATGCTATTTAATTTTACTCCACTTCCAATGTGGGACTTATTTGAAGCATTTATTGCCAATTAACTATATCACTCACTTTGTCATTTTGGAACAACTTAATGGAAATAAATATTCATTATTTCCAACAAAATCTTCAACATTAACATTATAACTTTGTGCATTACAATCAAAGTTAAATAACATGTAATTTCATTTCTCTTATCATGCATAATATATTTTGCGAGGGCAATGTGAATTCCATCAACATCACTGGTGCCAAGATGATGTCTCCACACTGCAAGAAACAAAACACAGTCTATTATATTTTTAATTTGGTATATGTCAAATTAAATTAATTTAAGATGAGAATGATTTAAATTGCTTTGCTGGCTACATTAATTTAATGTCTAATGAGTAACTAAAGCCTCATTACAGCTTCAAAATCTATTCATTAGTATGAATTTTGTGACAATATCATATAAGTACTTTAACAATAACATTGAAGAGAAGTTAAAATGAATTTAAGAAAATTCCACTTGATTTGACATATACAAAAGAAACAAACTCGCCTCACAAATGATCTCCGAGAATCAATCCAAAAAATATAAAAACTGTATCAAAAATTTTATATCGTTATCAATCTTCATCGAAAACATTAGAAGTTAAACAACTACCAATTCCTTTTGAAGAAGCTATCTCTAAAATAAAAAATAAAAAAATAAAATAAGAATTATAACTTATTATTAATCAAGTTATTATCTAAGAAATGATTGTTTATCTTAAAATATGTATAAGTATTTTACCTTCCTCTAATTTCTCAAGCTCCTTGAAGTTCTCAACTAAAAGAGAATCAATGATTGAGCATTTACGTGATGCTTTAAGGCAACTGTAACTACAAACAAGGGCTTCCATTGTTTGAGGTATAAGGCAACTGCGATATTCATCCATCACTCGTACTCCAAGACTAAAAGTAAACTCAGATGCTACAGTGGAGATAGGTATGGCAAATAAGTCTTTTGTCATCTTTGCAAGGACTGAAAGGCGATTGGAATTTTCCCTCCATCATTTTAAAATATCAAAGTCTATGGTAAATTGACTCTCTAAAAATTCTTCTAGATACTTTTCCAAATCATTCATTTTCGCAGAGGAAGATCCATTGCAATGTAAAAAATGATTGTAACTATAAAGATCTTCCTTACCACTTAAATCAAATCAATTAAATTATGAATCACTTTGGGACTCATGTTCGTCATCACTATACTCCATGAATAGTTCATTCAAGCGAGTATCCAACAAGTCTCTTAACTTTTTTGCCTCTAATGAATTAAAATTCTGATTGATCAACCAAGTGACAAATTTTAATTTGTACCTGGGGTCTAAGACATAAGAAATCAGCAACATCAAATTTATCTTCTCAGGTTTTCCTCAATATTTGTCTTCTTTTTTTCATCTTGAAAGTCATGTCTTTTATGAATGAATCCTTAAAAATACACATGTTATTTATCTTTTCCCCTATATCAAATACCTCTAGCATATACATATTAGAAGCCACATAGGAGGAACCAGATATTCGAAGTGTGATATCATAAAAGATTTTTAAAAATGAAAGAATCGATTGTGTTTCTGTCTAGTCTAAACTTGTGGGTACACCATTTCCATTTTGAACTAGCTCTTGGGTGTACATGGGATCATAAATTTCAAGTCCTTCAAAAGCTTTTTGATGTTTCAAAGCTGAGTCTAATATTAGATAAGTTGAATTCCACCTTGTTTCTACATCAAGGCACAAAAGACCTTTGTACTCGGTGTTTGACCGTTTTACACATTCTTTGAATTTTGCAAACCTATTAGCAGAAGACTTGGCATATTTGACAGAACCTCGGATCTTCAAGATAGACTTGTCAAGATCTTTTAACCCTTCCTTAACAATGAGGTTTAAGATATGAGCACAGCAAAGCATATGTATGTATTCTCCATTCAATACTAAGCAGTTACAAGATAATAGCTTCTTCTTCAAATGTTTAATTGCAAGATCATTTGAGGCTGCATTATCAAGTGTGACAGTCAATATTTGATTAAGTCTCCAATCAGTCAAACACGCAATAATAGTGTTTGTTATAATATTTGTCGAGTGGCCCGAAACTTAGACAAAACTTAGAATCCTACTTTGCAAGCTCCAATTATTGTCAATGAAGTGGGCAGTGATACACATATATGTGAGATTTTTGATAGACGTCCATGTATCAGAAGTGAGACAAACTCTTTGATAATGCAAGGTTAGAAAGTTTTTCAATTTTTTCTTTTCTGCATCCCATAGCAACAAAGTATCACGTGCAAGTGTAGTACGTGATATAATATTGAACTTTGGGTTTAAGCCATTTACAAATTCATGAAAATCTAGATGCTCCACTTTTGTGAAAGGTAACTCCAATGCTACAAACATTTTCACGAGCAAATACCGCAATCTCTCTTGATCAAACCTAAGAACTGAAGGGGAAGAAAGAGCATGACCTTCACTATTCATTGAGGGCGTAAGTGTTTTTTGCCTCTTGTTAAAATCATTATTTGAGTTGCTCTTGCAAATCTTAGAATGTGTTGCCATTGAACTCGTCCCATTATACTTGAGCTTCTTATCACAATGGTTGCATATAGCTATATTTTCGGAGTTAGAATCTAGTTTGAAGTCATTCTAAATAGAAGATTGATTTTTACGACGTCTAGTTTCGAGTGGTAACAAAGTAGTAGAGTTCTAGACAATTGGTGAAGGAGTAGCAAATAAATTTGTTGGCTTGGATTCACCATTCATTTTGATATAAGCTGCAAAATAAACTCAATATCACAACACAAAACTTCAACATACTAAAACTTGAGTTAGAATTTAGCTAATGAAATAACTCAGAATAAAACTATTGCTCACATTTATGAAAAGCTTCTAAACTATTTTGTTTATTGTTACAGCCACAGCCACTGTCAGATCATGGCAGAAGACACTTAACAAAAAATTTCTTACTACTTCGGTAGTAAAATCTTTCTGCAAGTCACTTTTCATACTAGAATTGTTCCTCTTTTTTACAACTTTGTGGATATCTAAATTGTCTGGTAGATTGATGGACTTGAATAATTCAGAAAAGCGACTTTTAAAATTTTTAATGATGTCCTCTTCCTTAGAGTGAAGGATATTTTATTGTCTACAATGTAATTGATGAGGTTTCTTTTCCTTTTCTAGATATATCTTCCAACCGTTTTATCTATAAAAAAAAAATTGTTTTTGTGCGTTTAAAGAACTAGCAATACTTAGGATTTGATTGATACAATAGAATCAAAGTACAAGAAGAACTGTATATGTTTCAAATGGCTGATGGAATGGAATACCTAATCCTCCATCCCTTTATTATTCAAAATCTAAATCATAAGAAGAAAACCATAAAAGAACAAAACAAGTACTAATATTACAACTATGACACAAATTCTACTAATTAACATAGTACTAATGAATTCATAGCCTGAGCTTGAACTTACAGCTATTGTCTGAAATACTAATATCATTATCCGCACCAAGGCTATCCACCACAATCTCACACCTAACATGAAACTTTACTCTAATACCATGTCGGCTCCAATAGGTCAAACTCTTTGGAACTCTACTTTAATTGTGTTAGAATGACTATTCTGTTTTTATTTAAACTAAGGAAGCATGCAATGCAGAATTTTCAAGTAACTGAACTTAAAAAATGTCAATAGTTAGACAGAAATACTCTATAGATTTAGTAATATATATGTCTAGATAAATAATATTACATTGAACCATTCTCATGAATTTAAAAAAGCCACACTTACTGTAAATATTTTCCCTTCCTAAAGATAAGGTTAAACTTAACTAACTTGAGAAAAAGCGAATAAGGCCTCACTTTTATCTAAATAGTTACTACAATATTAATTGAGATTCTCACTATCTTATAAGTGGTCTCAAAAAATAAATTATGCGAGTGTTTACATATAAAGCATTTACAGTTAACTTTCATACTGGTTATCAAATCAAAATTTAGAAAATTGGACCCATAATTCATTAAACAAGGATTTCTTAATCTACATTGCAACAAAGGTTTAACCAAACATAATTGGGATTATGACCCATCAAAACTTCAAAGGAAAGTTCTATGTTGTTGAAGCAATTTTATAGAAACATTTATTACTCATCCACAATATCAAATGCTAACCTAATCTTCTAACATTTTTAGTGAAAAGAAGAGTTTACTTACAATAGAGCAGATTTGTAGGGTGGAAATTGGGATTAAGATTCCTCATAAATTTGAGCTAATCATGAAACTGAAGTAAAAAAAGTAGAAGATAAGCTTTGATTTAGGAAAAAATATTAGTGATTAGGGAAAATGGGTCTACCTGAAAACTTGATGTAATGGAGAAAAAAAATGTCTCAAGATTCTTGAGAATGAAGATGAAGTGGTTCTTGAGAATGAAGATGAAGTAAACCTCATTAGAAGTGAAAATAAGTTTGATACTTGAAATTGTAAGTTTAAATTTGAAATTGGGTGCATTTTGGGCTTTTAGTTAATAACCAAATTATAATTGGATCCAAAAATAAAATATAAATGAATAACCAACCATTTATAAATAATCCGGTTGATATCTATTTTATAATATCTAATATTTAAAATGGATTTCGACATGGATATAAATCAGAGCCTTATAACCAGATATTTTACACACCCCAGGCACTACCTCTTATCAAAAGCACGTGTGTAGTATATCATCTTTAGCAGACTAGTAAAGGTCAACCCTCAATCTGCTATCGGTCAAGCATTTAGCCTCATAATATAACTAAAATTCATAAAAATCAATACAAAGTTCACAACAGCAAAAATGCAGGAAGGAATAGCTCAAGAAGAATTCAGTTTCCCATCAAAATTAGAATCTTAAATTTAATAAAGAGCAACTATCTGAATCAAGTTCCATCAAAAAAATATAACAAAACATAACATCGTCATTTCACCCAGCCTAAAAGACTAGCTCATGTGGCTTCACACCGGCCTTGAGAGAAAACCTAGCACCTAGATAAGTCTTCAAATCCGGGACGGTCTCGATTGCTTTAATCAATGCAGCATCAACGGTTTTCTGTTCATCTTTCTTCTCCTGAGGTAAAACTTTTTTCTCCTGCATTCAAAAATAAAAAACAGACATCAGCCCACAATTAGCATAAGACAGATATAAACAGAATATGAAGAATGAAAACTCCACCTCTTTGTCTGACTCAAAGAATTCGCCTTCTCCTTTGCTCTTCTTTTTCTTGGCATCCTTTGAAAAATACTTATCATCAAAGTTGCTCACATTGACACCGGAGATATCCACTTTGGTGGATGTGCCAATCACATAGGACTGGTTCACACGTCTCAAGGGAACTCCATTAATTTTGAAGGGACCTGAGAATTGAGATGCACGGTAAGAAACACAATTGAGGCTTTAAGAAAGGTCCTCATATCCTCAATTTAGATATCATTTGCTATACAAAAACAAAAGTATACCCTAAGAACACATATATAACAATAGGCATTAAAGTACATGTAATAGAGATATAGACCCAATTGATCAAGAGCAATCCAGAATTACCGGTTACAAGAAGCAATCCAGAAGGAAGCTGCTTCAAAAACACAACCCTCTTTCCCTTGAATCTACCAGCAAGTAGAATCAGCACTGTTCCTGGGGTAATGCTGGCCCTGAAGACAAAATAAAAGGCACAATACAGAATAAACACCAAAATCACAACATGTACAAACAAATGTGTAAAAATGACAATAATAATGGTAAAAACAAGTCATTTCATCATTTTTCAATCTATAGCTAGTAATAAGTAATTGGAATCAACAATAACTTAATCCAGATCTCAATTAACTCAAATGAAACAGCATGTAATTAAATCGAGCTAAAAATGAAATGCAAAGCACAAAATCTATTAAAACCTAAACACATGAATAAGAAAAAGAGAGATTCATGATGAAAGGTAACCTGAGCTTGGTAGGCTTTGGCTTGTGCTTGTTGAGAAGTGGTTTCTTCACATCATCAGCAGGGTAAAATTTGGGTGGTTTCTCGGCAGGAGTTTCAGGTTTAGGTTTGGGATCATGGCGAGGGAAAGCGCCGCCGTTTTTGGCCTTAATAGCCCAAATACCTCTCTTGTGGTACATCTGAGACTTTGAGAATTTTCCAATTCCCCTGATCAAATCAGGGTTTCTGCTAACCCTAGGTGCTCTCTCCTTCGGCGCCATTGCTGCTGCGAAATGCAAACCCTAGTTTCTGTCTCAGAGCTAATGAGAGTGAGGATGAAACCGCTTGTGATATGTCGAATTAAATCTATGTAATGTATCGGGCCTTGAATTGATCAGACCGAATTCCTGACTTAGGCCCACGGCCCGTTTTGAATTGAAATATTGGCTAGAAAAAGGAACTAGTAATTATTTTTAGTTAATGATTAGTTGAAAAAGTATTATTGAATCATTAGTTGAAAATGTATTAGAATAGAAAAATTATTTGATTGAATAGAGTTATTGGGAAGCTCATCCTAAGGCTCAATCAGCTTTTATATTATATAGAAGCATGTTCAAAAGATTGCTTGTGGTTACTGAATTGGTTGATTACGCGAGAAAAAAGAATGAATTGTTCATTTTTAAGATTGACTTTGGAAAGGCGTTTAACTCGGTATTTTGGAAATATCTTTTATTTGTTATGAAACGTCTGAAATTTGAGAAAAAAATGGATGAGCTGGATGCGAGCTTGTGTATGCTCTAACTATATTTCAATTATGATTAATGGAAACACAACGATTGAATTTCAACATACGTGATGGTTGCGTCAAGGCGACCCTACTCTTTCACCATTTCTCTACCTAATTGTTGCGGAAGGGGTTGCTGGTCTAATGTGTAACACTTGTGCATTGGGTTGTTTTCATTCTTTCAAACTTTCGGAGGAACTTCAGTTCAACTTACTATAATTCGCTGATGACATTATTTTATTGGGCAAAGTTGTTTGGACAACCTCTAGGCAATTAAATCAGTGCTTTGAGTTTGAAATCACTTCAAGACTACGTGCCAACTTTAACGAGAGCAAAATCATCGACTTTAGTGTAGATATTGACTTCTTCTAAGCAATTTCAACCTTCCTTGCTTGCAGAATTAATGTATCCCCTTACATCGTCCTTGGGATTCAATCAGGTGTGAACCTCGTAAGGTGTTCTTCCTGAGAGCCTGTTTTGCAAAAATGTGTAATAGACTTTCATCATGGAGAAGTAAAAGGTTGTCTCTCGGTGGTCGGGTAACCCTTATTAACTCAGTTCTTAATTTAATCCTCCTCTTTTATTTTTTCTTCTATATATGTCTAAATGTAATTATTCAATACTTTATCAATATCCATAGGGAATTTTGTGGCAAGGTGAAGAAAACAAGAAAATAATTAACTGGGTAGCACGGTCCACCATTTGCAAACCGAAAAATTGAAGGAGGAATAGCGGTGAAGCATTTTAATTTATTCAATATTTCATTGCTAACTAAATGGGCTTTGAGCATTCTATCAAATTTTGATTCTAAAAGGAGTAGTTTGTTGGTGTTCAAATATGGCGATACGAAAGGCCTTGTGCTCGCTATCTTTTGGTTTGTTAACATCATTAAATCGTCTATATGGTGGAGGGATTTAAGACTGTCAGTGGGAGCTTAGCGAGTTAAACATAACTTATTTTGTGACAGCATATCCTACAAGTTGGGCAACAAATTGTGTATAGATATTTTGAGGCATAGATGGCTGAGATTTTCGCCTCTTAACCTGTTATATTGAGTTATGTCTGAATCTTTTCAGGTTCCAGGCTTAAGTTGTAAATGTTGGGCAATGGATAATGGGAAATGCTCTTCGGGTCTTGTTAGCTTGTCTGACTCAAATGAAATCATGGATAATAATTCATATTAGGATGAGTTGGATAACATTCTCCTTCATTTGAGTCCTAATCCATAATCAGTAGATTTATTTGTCTGGTGGCATGATAGCTTTAGTTTCTCGGTTAAATCAACATATGTTACTCTTTTATCTTATTTTGGTTTAGGATCTCGTTGTGATGTAGGAAAAGTCAAGGTTTTCAAATTATTTTGGGTCCAAAATGTATCTGCCAATATTCATGTGTTTGTGTGGAGATTACTCTAGATCAGGTTGCAAACCATATATGATATCGTAAAGCATAGTGTGTTGAATGGAGCACACAATCTTGTATGCCTTTTATGCTTAGAGCCAGATAAAAATCATTTTCATCTCTTCATTTCTTTCCATGTAACTATAATAGTTTCGCACCATATTCTTGCATGAATTAGTTTGAGTGTGTTACCTGCTTGTGAGGTGTTATCAGATCATGCTTTGTCATTTGAAGCTAGTCTGATTGGAATTGCAAAAAAGAGATGGCGGATTCTTCTTAGGTTGCGAGTGTTTAGTCAATTTGGCTAGCTAGAAATGAGATTCTTTTCAACAGAGACGTAAGAGAGTTGTGGGATTATCATCTTTAGCCAAGTCTCTATCGTGTGAATGGTTTGGTGCTAAGTTCAATGTGTCGAAGGACTCTTTGTGGGAACAAAATTGGTTGATATCATATCCTTTGAGTTTTAATGATAACAAAGTTTTAAATAACATTTGGGCTTTCTAACATCCATTAAAGTATGTAAAATTATATGATTAAAAACAAATGAAAATTTGCTTGAGGAATCTAATCTGAAGTTCAAACTCTGGCTCTGAAGACAGTTTCTGAAGAATCTGGCTCTGATGATGATTCAAACTCTGAAGAAGTTAACTCTAAATAGTTTATGGTGACTTAGACTTTGAAGCTTCAAATTCCAATAAGTAGACTCTGAAGTGATAAGCCTCTGAAATAAATTAAAGAAAAGTATCATGGCAACATAGGAAGAACTCAAGAATGGAGAAAAATCTAAGAGAGGTGAAGAACAAGCAAAAATAGGATTAATAGCTCTTACATCTTTTGAAGTAGAATCTGACTCAGAATTTAAAGAGGATGATGTATTTTCCAAACTATCTCGTTCTAATTTGATTATCTCTATTCAATATCTTATGAGTAGATGTCAGGAAAAGGCCAGGCATATGAAAATATTAATAAAGCATTATGATATTTTGAAAGAAGAATTAAGATCTATTCAAAACAAAAATGAAGCTCTTAAGAGAAATCATATTGCTCTTGTTAAAGATGTGTTTGACAAAACTCTTGATGAGCATGAAATGGATCTTCAAGAATTTATCTTAATTGGCCTTAAAAGAACCAAACTTGCACCCATTATCTATGGTGTAAGTAGAATCATATTACAAGGTATGGGTTATGGTCAAAAACCTTTTAATCTAAGGACTAAAACCTTGATTAAGCCTTCAGATCTTTCTTCTTTAAAATCTACTAAAAAAGGGTTAGACTTTTATTTTGTAGCTGATTCTAACAGTGCAAAGGTTCTAAACCAATCAGAATTTAAGACTCTTTAGTCAAAGGTTCTGAAGAAACCAGAATCTGAGACTCTAAAGTCAAAGGTTTTGAAGTTATTAGAACCTAAGAATATAAATTCAAAGGTTCTGGAGAAATAAGGACCTAGGGCATTTGGTCATAAGGTTTTGCAATATTCAAAACTTAAGGTTAAGACTTATTCAAGACAACAAACTTTTAAATCAAAAGTCTTTAATAACTCTAAACTTGTCCATATGAGAGAAAATGCACAAAACAAAAGAAAACATGTTAGGACTAATCTTAGAGGACCCATAAGAGTATGGGTACCTAAATTTGAAATCATTTTTGTTATAGATATGCTTCAAGAGAGAAGCAAAGCAGCAGACCTAGTACCTGGGTAGTGGCCACTCACGACATACGACAGGAGAAAGGCTTATGTTTCGAATCCTTCTAGAGTGAGGAATTATGGGATTTGGAGGAAACCAAAAAGAAAATATTTGTATAATCATGAATGAATATGATAATTTATAGTATTCAAGGGTAAGAGGAAAGGTTGTGTCTATAAAAATAATTTTTCTGAATTGGCAAACAGAAGGTAATTTTCCTTCTATCAACGAATGGTGAAAATTGGGTCTGGAAAAGAAGGTTAGGTCATGCTAATTGGAGATTAAACTCCAAGCTTAGCAAGTTAAAACTTGTTAAGGGGTTATCAAATCTTAAATATCATTCAGATGCTCTATGTGGAGCATGCTACGTAGATAAAATTAACAAAACCTCTTTTAAAATAAATAACTTTGTCTCTACCGCTAAACCCTTAGAATTGTTTCACGTTGATTTGTTTGGTCTTGTTAGTACTGAATCAATCAATAGGAAGAAATATGGGCTTGTCATAGTTAATGACTTTGGTAGATGGATTTGAGTTTAATTTATTAGAACCAATGATGAACCATATGATGTGTTTAGTGTATTATGCTTACAAATATACAATGAAAAGGGATTAAAAAATAGGGAGTGATCAAGGAGGAGAATCTGAAAATGAATCTTTTGAAAACTTTTGTGAAAAATATGGAATCCTCCATGAGTTTTCTTCTCATAAAAGTCCACCGCAAAATGGAGTTGTAGATGGGAAGAATAAATACTTACAAGAAATGGAAAAAACCATGATTCATGAAAATAACTTTCATAAGTACTTATGGGTATAAGTTGTAAACATATCGTGTTATGTTCATAACAGGATCTACATCAGACTCATTCTGAATAAAACTACATATGAGTTGTTCAAAGGAAGAAATTCTAACATTTCTTATTTTCATCAGTTTGAATGTACATATTACATCTTAAACAATAAAGTTTATCTGAAGAAATTTGATGTTAAACCTCAAAAGGGTGTCTTTTTAGGATACTATGAATGCTCTGAGACATATAGGGTGTATGGCTCTGAAACCAAAATGGTTGAAAAGTCTATATATATTAAATCTGATGACAAAAGGCCTGACAGTAAAATGTCAGATCTAGTTGAAAACTTTTGCAGAATTTCATGTATCAAAAGTCTCTCCAGGAGCTGGTGGATCAGAAGTCATTATTTCTTCAGAAGCTGAATGTTAAAAAGCTAGATGTTTAGAAGTTTGTGGTATAGAACCAAGTCTAACTTTTGAAACACATTCAGAGGAAGCAAGTTTTAAAGAAGCTCTATGTGATTCTCAAGAAGTTGCACAATCCAGGAAAAAACTTCAAGTACAAGTCTTCTCATCCAGAAGAGTTTATCATTGGAAACAAAGTCAGTCATCTGAAAATAAG